ATACACACATATATATATATACACATATATAACCACTGGCTGAGGATCAAACATGTTTTGGATAAAGTGTGTAAGGATTGAAGGAGACTTGAGATGTGTTCATCACTTATCAGACAGCAACTGAGTCAGTGTGAAGCAGCAAGGAAATAGTCTGCTGTTGGATTGGATTTCAGGTGAGCGCTATAGATCAACGGATTTCAAGTCAGTGAACGTTAAGCAAAAGGATAGCGGGTGCAGGGGGAGCCAACTTCAAAAACTAAAGAATATTAGCTTTTGAGGATTAGTGCTCAAATTTGTTTATTAAAATCTGAGGAGCCCAAATGGGTCCAAGAATAGTCAGTGTGCAGACCAATCCTGATCCGAGTCTTTAACTGTTGCTGGTGGCCGTCGGTGGAGGCAACTCAATCACCACCTCCCCTCCAGAGCTGGTTACCGGAGTGGAGTGAGATCCTCCGTTACCGGTTCCGTTCTTGTTGACGAGTGTTGTCGGCTGGCCAAAGTTAGTGGTTCTCAGGGTCGCCAGGTGTCGCGGGGAGAAGACGTGGGCCCTCGCTGCAGCCCGGGATTCAAAGGAGACGTTGCAGGCATCACAGCGGCCCGTCAGGGTCTCCTTTGGCACCGGTTGGCCGGCCGTCGGGGAAGCTGGAGGGTCGGTGACGGTCAGCTGAACAGGTTTGGGCAGGATGGGACGATTGGCTTTGAGAGCGTTGTACTGCAGGTAGCTTCCTGAGCTCATGTCCACCTTTCCACCTGACAGAGGAGACTGGGAATGGGGAGGTGGGGAGGACAGACAGGACCAGCGAGGGAATTAGTTTAATGTCATATCATTTAAAGTTCAACAGGTTTAACTGAACAATCTATATAATTGATATATGCATAATTTAGCAATTCAGTTGTTTTGGACAGTAACGTTTAGCTTTGTTTTCATAGACAGCAACATGTGTGTTCCTGAGCAATAGTTATAGTACTCAAAGGCAAGCAATACTCGTAAATCAATAGATGCCATTGTTAGTTTGTGGTATTACTCCATGTTAAAAACGGTGAATGTCAGCTGCAGTGTACTCATTTAGCTTTCAGGAGGAAATATAATCACTTGAAGAGAGCACTATAGCGGAAATCAATTTCATAATATTAATGAGAAGACCGACATATTTTTAATCACAATTAAATAATGCACTAAATAATGACCTGTGGTCCACTGCTATGCAGAGAAAGCTCTTGTGTGTAAAACAAAAACTTCAATGATTTTAAGTAAAATTTGCTTGAAATCATTCAATGTCATTAAATATAACAAAACAATAAGTGCATGACAATTTGATTCCACTGAAAGTCAATATACGATGTAAAAATATTGCCCAGCCCTTGAATAAAAAGGTGCAAAGCAGCAAAGTGATGCCAACAAAAGAACATGCTCCTCTCCTCATTGACCTACCGTACCGTTAACTTTATTAGTCCATCTTACTGTATTAACAATTCTGTGATGTTTTACCAAAGGCTTAATAAAAACTTGCATCGCAAGTCTACTTTCCAGCTCACCATTTTCTCTTGTTGCAGCCTCCAGCGCTTCTCCTTGGCTCTGGTGTTTTGGAACCAAATCTGCACCACCTTGAGCGGCAGGTTGAGCTCGGTGCCGATCGCCTCACACTCCATGGCGTTAGGGTGGGCACAGGTCTCGTAACAGGACTGCAGAATGGACAGCTGTAGGCAGGACAAGTGCGTGCGTGGCCTACGGCTGGATGAGTGGGGCAGAAAGCTGCTTTCTGTCGGGCTTGATTTCGCTAGGACCGGGGTGGAGGGGCTGGCCACTTTGGCAGAGCTGGGGGTGTTCGGGCTAACTGGCGCGATGCTGGGGGTTGGAGGAGGGGGGATGGTACGAGATGCATGTGTTGGAAGAGCCAGTTGTTCTCTCGATAGAGTGTTGATCTTAATTGGGACCTTGGGGGTCCAGTAGTTGAGCCCGTTCTGTTTTTGTGACACCACTGTTGTGGCATGAGGCCTGTTGTTGATGGGAGTTGTGGGCAGCTTGGGCACCATGCGGTTAGTGGTTCCCGGTCCAGAACCCATCTCGTCTTCGTCGTCTTTCTCGTCATCGGTCTTTTCTTCCTCGCTCTCCTCTTCTAGCTTTCGTTTCTGGGCCGGTCGTGGGGCAATGGGGATTGGATCCTTGGGTGGCGGTAAAAGGACAGGGGTGAGGACTTTAGGTGCAACTTTGACCATAGTGACATTGCTGGTGGTTTCGAGCTTGGTCTTTGGCACTGCAGAAGCACTGCTGCTGCTGCTGCTCACAGGAGACACTGTCGTAGAGGAAACAACCTCTTTGGGCTTGATAGGAACTGGGGCTATTTTTTTCACCATGGCAGGTTTGCCCAGCTCCTTCACAGGATCTCTCTCTGTCTTAATGAGGGTGCGCACAATTGGAGTGGTTGTGATGCACCCGGTATTATTTGGAGCAGGCTTGTTTGAGAAAATGGGTTTGGAAAGAGGCCAGGTAAATTTGATGAGAGGTTTGCCAACCGCTGCCAGGGTCCCATCGCTGATGAATCTGACCTCACCCTTTCGTTCCCTCGCCCTCATGTTCTGGAACCAAATCTGAACAACCTTCTTTGGAAGGTGGACCCACTCTGAAATCTGTTCAAACTCATGTTTCCCAGGATTTGGGTCTTTGAAATAGCAGCCATACAGAATGTCAAGTTGTTCAGCCTGAATGATGGTCCTTGAACGTCGCATATCCCGATACCTTTTTCCTTTGGACTTTCTCTGCTGCTGCTGCTGCTGCTGCTGCTGGTCCTGCTCCCTCTCCTTTTCCAATAGCGTGGCATTCATTTTCTCTGCTGCCCTCATGTAAATGCTAGACTTTGTCATGTTGTTGCAGTTCAACAGACTCATGCTGCTGTTGGAAGACAGCATGGAAGTAACGGGTTCAGGCTTCACCTGGACGACAACCAGACCTTTGGATGTGGGCCTCAAGCCAAGCCCATCCAGCAATTGTCCCTTCTGCGCTGCAATTTTATCAGCCAGAGATGATGAGGAAGAAGCAGATTTGTTGTTCCTCCCCATGCTGAGATCCAGAGCGGACTCACAGTCGCCACCATTGGACAGGTAGTGGGAAGTTTGGCTGTGGGAGGAGAGAGACTGCGAGAGGAGAGAGCTGGAGAAGCGTGTGATAGTAGGTGGGTTAGGAAAAATGGGTACTTTGCTCCCATCAACCACTGAAGGAGTGAGAGAGAGGACATAGGGGCTAAGGAACTGAGTAGAAAAAGGAGCAAGGGACAGTGGAAGTGAGTGGAGGGCACTGATTGGAATCTCAGCGTGAAACTGTGAACTTGGAGGATCCCCTTGGGCCTCCAACTCTAGATCCACATCGGGGTCCTCTCTCTCCTTCTTTACCTCCACCTCATCGCGCTCAAACTCCCCCTTTCGTTTTTTCCTCTTTGCTCTCTGACCCCCTCCGCCCTCCTCATCTTCATACTCATCCTCTGCATCAGAGAGAAACACAGTTGTGGAGCGCAAGACCTTTCCTCCAACTGGCCCCTTATCACCATGGACTTCCCAATGTGCTTCATCTTTAGCAGGGCTCTCAGGGCCCTCCCTCAAAGACCCATTCTGGCTTTCCTCATCAGACACAATGACAGAGGTGTATACCTCATTTTCGGAGTCAGAAGTGAGACAGGAATCTCCCTGACCCTCCCTTCCCAAATCTCTCTTTCTGCGTTTCCCTCTTGTACTGGACAGATCCATTGCCTGACTGCCCGACGCTTCAACATCATCCTCACCTTCTGCTATAATCAGGGAGTTCTCCTCGTCGTCATAGTCAGAACTCTGGGCGTGCCTTGTGAATCCTGCCAAGCGTTGCAGATGTTTCAACTCTGTTGCCCTCTGCCTCCGTTTTGCATGTCGGGCTTGGCTCAACCACTTGCGTACCCCTTCCTCAGAAAGTCCCACCTCTCTGCCCAGCGCCTCGCAGTCCTCACGGGGAGGACTTGCAGCGTCTGCCTCACTTCGCGACTCAAAGAATGCCCAGAGAACTTCCGACTGGAACTCTGACAGCACTGGAAGGTCTGGATAAATGGATCCCATTGCATTACAATGGGGTCGAGTTTGGTTGTTAGTTAAGGCATTTGTACTCGGGCTAGATTTTGGGGTGCCAAGAGAGCCACAGGGGCTGGTGCCCGAATGTGATTTTTGAGGAGTAGAATCAGGGCTAAGTGTAAGGTTTAAATTTAAAGGACTGAGGCTCGAGTTGCTGGGCACAGATGCAGAAGGCGAGACATTTTTATTACGGAGGCTCTTCTCTGTGCCCACTGGGGAGAGATTGAGGCTAGCTGCTTTATCACCTTCCAGGTCCAACTGATTAGTCGAGCTGTCTCCATCTGTTGTGCTATCTCTATGCGCCTTCCCATTGTCTTCGTTATTCTCAACCTTCACTTTTCCTTCTACATTAGGACACTGTGCAGATTCTTTAACGTCCTCTTCCATCAGTTTCTCTGATTCAATGTTCTCTGTAGTCCAGTTATTCCCGCCCTTGATGGGATCTGAAACCTTCTCTCGTGTCTCGTCACTGTCCTGTCTTTCTTGTTCTCTCTCACACTTTACAGTCTGCTTGTCCAGGCAGGGCTGCATGTTTGTTGGAACTCCTGCAGAGGGCCACTGGTTCTGTAAGCTGTTAAGTCTTTGGGTTAGGAGGGCTTGCTGGGCTGTGCTGAGACCTACGAATGGCACACACTGGGTCAGGAGCTGGCCTTGCTGGTTCTCTATGTGCTGCTGGGTTTGGGCTTGGAGCCCATTCAAGATCAAGGGCATGACCATTTGAGGATGAGGCACGAGCTGAGGTACGGTGGCACCAGGAGCAGCACCGGCCGCAAACAGGGAGGGGAGGAGGGAGTGTGAGAGGGTGTTGGGACTAGATGTGAGGAGGGTGAGAAAGGCCGAGACCGCCTGAGCCGAGGCCACAGGGGAGGTGAGGAGGGAGGGAGCCACTTGGGAAGCTTGAATCTGCTCGCCGTCTTTTGTGGTAGTCACCATTAACGTCCCGGGAGCAGCACAGTTGGTGGTGCTAACTAACTGACTGGTTCCACTTCCAGATGTGGTCACTACAGTGTTTAGAGCACTGGTGGTGGTGGTACCTCCCAAACTAGCAGAGGCAGCTGCGCTGTTTGTAGCAAGTGCAACAATTCCCGCATTTCTGCTGCGGGTCTGGTGCAAGACAGATTTCATATGGCTCTCGAGGGTGATGGCATGATTGTAAGAGACTCGACATACAGCACACTGGTAGGGTTTGTTTGATATGTATGGCCGAGACAGGACAGGGACTGGGGGAGTCGGGGGATTAATGTCCCCACTTTTTTTTGCAGAGCCTGTTGTCATCCTCTGAATGTGGGACGCTGAGTTGTAATGAACTTTCAAGGCAGTTCTGCCAGAAAAAGTTTCCAGGCAGGCATTGCATTTGAATGACTGGGTGTTATTTTCAGCTGGCGCACCATTTTTACCAACCGTCTTTTCACGACTGTCTGGGATTGCTGTGTTTTCAGTTGCATTTTGCCGTTTGGCTCCTGTGACTCGATTTCCCTCCTCTTCTGGCTCCGGCTCAGCTTCACCTCCCGCCTGTTCCATTATTCTCTCTTCCTCCATGTCTTTGTCTCCCAGCGTCTGGGTAGCGTCTGAACTCTCGCTAGATTGGCAGGGATCTGAACAGACGTCTTCAGTGTGCTTCAGTTGTGTGGATTCGGCACCTGATAAAATGAATATGCAGGTTTAACTTTTATGTTCTAGTAAATGGAGGTCTAACTGATAACAGAAGTGCACACATCAACATTTTTACCCGCCTGTACCCAGCCAACCCACATCAGGTGCAATTATTCATTTTAAATGCCTCTCTTTTTTTTCTCCTTCATGTAGTTTGGAAACACCATTTTAACACCAACAAAAAAAATCATTATAATAAATCAAGTTTGGCTGGATAATAAAAATGTTCACTCACCTGACGACTTTAGAGCACTTTTGTCCTCTTCTCCTCCACTGCCAGCCTGTTTTAGAACAGCCTGTTAAAAGAAAATGAAAGGAGAGTGTCAGCAAAATCCCCATAGCAAACTTAACTATGTAACAGCTCCTTTCGGATGAACTGAATGCTATGTAGCTTTTGAGCGGCACAACATTTGGGCGTGACTTATTGATGTGTGGTCATATTACACATAGCTTGGCTTACCTTTCATTTACAAATTACCCTGAAGGCATAAATTAAAAAGGTCTTTCATCAATTCCTCCACCAATAAAATTAATTCTATTTCTTAACAGTCAACATATTTAACTGTCATGTGTTCATTGAGGTGCTTATTTTTCCTAATTTGGGCTCCGCTCAGCAAATACTTTCACACCGACATGTATGGTAACTGGTTAATTCAAAGATATCACCTGAATATGTGTAATATTCAAACCATCAAAATAAACAAACACTGCCAAAACTAAATCTGAACCCTCAAAAGTCAACATTCACACTAGTAATTACTAATGTAGTAACGGATTATGCAGAAATGTGTGCATGTTTGCCGGGATTGTGGGTAAACCATTTTATCCAACGAATATCACTTTGTTAAGCTGAGGTTCTTTGGATAAGAATTTTATTAAGAAATGTGTTCGATCATTGATGTTTACATAGCTAGTGTATTTTGGTGAAAACAAATAAGAGCGGAATTATAGACCAAGAGCACTGTTATTACCCAGTAATTACATACCAGCACGTCAACAGATAAACAGTTTTGTTTCATAACATTTCCCAACGCGTACATGTAACCCGTCTCACTTGTGTCTCCTTTTGTGTGTTTTTTTTTTTTTAATGTTGCATGATGACCAAACCAGGGTATTAATAAAGTTATTCATCCATCTAAGGCATCCTTTCTCATGTAATATATATGACGGAAGGTGGACGAAGTAACAGAAACAAATTATAATTATTTGTATGTTTTTAAGTCATTTTAAATCTTGGTGAAATTTGTGACGCGACTACTGCTCCTCTCATCTCGTCATCTGTATTTACTGCAGGGCTAATAATGCATTGCAAGGCGTTTGACATTTTGTCCAAACCGTGTACATCAGCCAGTAACAAGTGGGCTCATTAAACATTACGCACATAATGTACTACCCAAAGTACTACAGTTCTCCCGTTTGAGGAGTATAGCGTGGCCATACGGCCTAGCCATACTTACAATGTCCAGCAGTTTGTCGACACAAGATGGAAGTACGCTGTGTTGCTCAGTGAGATGTAGAGACAGGGAGGATCTGTCTGTTTGCCTTTTTTGGCACAGGGGGCACAGCCACTCTGCCACTCCATTGCTTTCACAACTCACTGTCTCTCCAGACTCCTCCTATCAAAACAAATGGGTGTGAGATAATCCTACTCTTTCTGGGGCCGCTATTATCCATCACAAATGCAGAATAGAAAAGAGAAAGAAAAGAAAATGTGACGTCAGGAAGCAATTTCACCTAGAAGGGAGCTGCACCCACCAAGGTACATGTATACTGTTACTTGATCGCACACCTTAGATAGTTGACCAACACTCACAATGCATTGCCATGTTTAACTATTTGAAAACACAATCAGAGACCAGTTACCATACCTTTCAATAGGCAGGCCGTGTCCCTTTTAACAGTACTCCTAGATCAGTATCCCATCCTTACATATCTTTGAAGTGACAATTAACTGTTTTTTTTAGGGAGGTTCACAACATTTCGGCTGCAAGGACCGTATCAAATTACATAATAATGCAATTGTTTAAATGTAAATGGGGTAGTCGTATAGTGCTTTTAAATTCGAGATAAGAGTCATTGTTTCAAACCGCTTTGCAAATCATCCAACTTTCCACAAACTGATCTGGTACAACATGTGCACATTAAATGTATTAAAAGCAGAATATGGTGGAGTTAGGCTCAATCATCACAACATGCATTGTTTGACAATTAACAAAATAGTATAGAGTATCGTACCAAGGGCAAGGAAGGTGGCCAATATACCAACTATGATCTGAAATCATACTGCATAGGCTCGACCTGCATGATCAAATATCTGCTACTCCCACGTAGTTATAAAAAGGAAGTCAAAATAGACCATCTGGATTCTACAACACAGCTTTGACGGATTTTTCTGCAAGCATTCACGATCCAACAATGCAACCAAGACAGCAAAACCATGCCCATGAGGAGAAATACCAACACATAATCCCCACTTCCTCGTCACGCCAATTAGCAAGCTAGCAGGGCTATATGACCAGATAATGTTTCGACAAGTCGATATAGAGTAACGTACATCGTGTTAGGACGCTCCGCATGTCGAGTTTCATAAATTAAAAGCCAAAATTTAACCAGATCGACGTATCTCCGCTCGTAGCTGGCTAATTAACGAGCAGTCTAATTAGCTATGCCTACCAGAGACGAATCAATTAGCTAGCAAGCTAGGTTGAGGAGCCCCCTGTAACGTCGCATTACAGTCGTCTTTCTGGAAACGCTGTTCAGTTGTTTAGTTTACTGAAAAATAACCCCGCGGTGACCGCCAGACACTTCTCCGAGACTGCGAAAGACACGGCAGGCGTGTGCATGACCTCGTTGCAGGCTCTCGGTTGAAGCTGGACGGTCATTAAAGTGATAAACAAGAAGGAGGTTGAGCTAGTAACAGTCGTGTCACTTCGCTAGCTAGCCTGTTAGCAGGCAGATAATTAACCGCTCCTCAAAACTGTCTCCAACTGGCTTGTCTCCGCTCCCTACAAACTCTGCCTGGTCCAGGTGGGAACTGCAGCGTCAATACACCGAGCGAGTTCACCCGGGACTGAAAATACTCTCACTGAGCGTAACAACAAAACCTCGGCCTCGAGTTGTTTCCTTACCCCTCTGATTGTGGGCTGCCAATCGGGCATCTAGTGTTGCACCGCCCGCCGCCTGCTGCTCAACAGCGCAAATTGAGGCCTAGCCCGACCAAAGCCATTTAATTAATGAGCGTGGGCTCCGTTTACAGATGTGTTAGGAAACACTCGCTCCCCCCTCCCTCGCCAACCCAGCAGACCCCCTTTTTGACGCGTCCTAGTGCTCGAATCCATACCTTAAAATACTTACGGTGCAACACATGGCCATTTAAACTACCATTTTAACAGCTTCGAGCCGTAATTGGCGAACGAATTAAACGCTAAAAAAAGCGACTTGGAGCGGAGTACGTGCGCCGCGGTCGCCTCGACGATGGGGGTGGTGTCGGGAGAGCAGGCGAAAGAGAGACGAGAAGGCAGAAAAAAGTTTGGATTTAATGTTGGATTCCTACAAGGGATCGGATTAGTATGGGGCACGATCCGTCGTTTGCCCAGCCCTCTACCAGTCGCAGGCCACCCTCAAATAACCCCGCTCAAAGCAGCACAATTAACCGATCGCGAATGACGTTTAATTAAGTTCGGAGCAATTAGCTAATGCGTCTTTACCTGCATGGTCGCCGCTCCAGCACGCACACACACACACACACGCTCTTCCTCCGTGGCTCCTCAGAAGTGAAAAGTTTTCTTGCGTGCCCTCCCTCGCTCTCTCTCTCCCCTCTCTCTCTCTCTCTCTTCTCTCTCCTGTTCTCCCCCTCCCTTCATTCGCCCTATCCCTCTCTCCTTCCCCTCTTTCCTCTAGTAAACAGACCACAGCTCCCCCCAAGGCTGATTGCTGACATTCAGAAGGGACAGACGCGGCTATCAAATCCCTTATGTAACCCCGCAGATATTAGATGATTAGCGACTGTATGTTGAAATTCCGATCACATTGAGCCATCAGGAAATATTCACGATGGTTAATTCCCCCCCCCCAAATGATCTCGATGCCTTGATTACATTAAATATATTTAAATGTAAAAACCCGTACTCGTTTTTTACATTAAAGGTGAATAAAAGATGAGTCCCCATTCTGCCAACTTGGACTGACACAAAGAGTGTGACGAGTTAATTAAGGCTGAATAATAGAGGTGTAACCGCGGAGGCTCTAATCAGCCTCACACACGTGAATTATAACACGTTTTCAATCAAATGATAGGTGTGGCGCATATCAACAGTCGAGTATGTGGAATAAATATTTATGAAGCACAGGGGGATTAAAACGGCACCATCTGTATTGCCTCTGCGTTACTGGGACAGGAAGTGATGCTCCTGAATACCTCGATAGGTGTCTCTAATTGCGCCTGTGCAAAATAAACTTCGCTGACGTGTAGAGGGTTATTAGCATTGATGCGTCGCTCACTTCTTTAATGCAGAACTGTTGGGATTTAAAGGACTCGACTTGAGGAAGGTGTGTGAGGTTGCGGTTCGCTACACGGGTGGTGATTTGTAGAACTCTGTGGTTCGGTTTGGAGGTTTTGATTTGTTCGTGTATGAGTCTGCAACAGCAGCTTCGGTTAAATGGTTCCAAACTGATTCATAATGACACAGGTGCGGCTACAGGAGCTGCTGCTGTATAGTGCTTTATAGTAGTATAGTTGGTAAGAACAGTTCAGTTTTGAGCATTTACTGTCAGTTTACAGTGGAGCTTGACAATAAAATAATTTTTTTTAAAAATGAGAACCCTGATTCAATGTAGGTTAATTGCAGCAGATCTTTTACTGAAGGAATAACACAATGTAATTATACTTTATTACGCCTAAAGGTCACACGCACACACATTGTTGTATTAGATTATTATTATTAATTGTGCATTACTGTGTAAGATGCATTTTAATACAGTAGATTGAAGTGAAGGTCATTTTAAATAATTTATATGAGTTTATATTTTATAATAATATCTTAATGTGTTTACTTAACACATTAACTTACTTATTGTAAGTCACTTTGGATAAAAGCATCTGCTAAATGACTGTAATGTAATGTAATGTGTAAGATATTACATAGAAAATAAAAAATAATCTGTTTGAATAAAAAGGAAAGTACAGGTACCTCTAAACTGTACTACTGAACTTACTGCACATTACTTGAATAAATGTACTTAGTTAGTTTCCACCATTGGTTAGTGTGTAATACATTACATTTAATTGAGTTATTGTTAAAAGTTAGTGTTGGGGGGGTAAACTTTGTAAGGTGTTGCTAAGAAAAAGTGTCAAAAAACAAAATTCAACTTTGTTTTCTTAATATGGCAAATGCCTTCGTACTCAATAAAAATAAGACACATTCTTATATAAAACGTAAACCTTATTAAGTTACTGACTGTAAAAGACTAATATCTGTCTGAATCTTGCAGTCTTTAGCTGGATTTGTGTGCATACAGTATCATTGGTGTTGATCTTATTGTGTCATTTCAGATGAGTGTGGAAGTGGAAAGAAAATTCGTGTGCAATGCTGACACTCTAAAAACACTGGAGGAGATCGGGGGTATGTGTTAAATTTGTCTACCACGCATTTTATGCGTGAGTAAATTTAGAACTGAGGCATTTAACTGATGCTGTGATCCACGACAACTGAAGGACTTCGTTTAATGACACTAATTGCTGTGGATTTCACTGTAACACTGGCCATCTGTCTCTTGTTAATAGTGAAGTTTAATTATCTGTACCAGCCTCGTTAGCATTTTAATATTTAGCTCTCCATTTTTTACATCAGCTGTCTCTCTCCTCCCACTTCTTTTTGCTCAGCAGTGTGTGTTGGTCGGTGGGAGTTTCGTGACCAGTATTTTGACACCCCCGAGTTTGACCTGACTCTGAGAGACATGTGGCTGCGTAAACGTAAAGCATGCTGGGAGTTGAAGTGCCCAACGACAGTCAACGGGACGGACGAGGCCTCTGGAGGACAATCTAAAGCGGCGGCACTGTGTTCTCGCTACAGGGAGATAACCAATCTGCCCAAAATCCAACAGAGAGTGAGAGAGGTCATGAAAGACATTCGTGAAGACGGAGAGACCGAGGCAAGCCCCTCACAGGAGGACGAGTCCTGGCTGAGCGAAATGAATCTGGTGCGCTTTGCAGATTTCACAACAGTGCGGCAGTCCTTCACGTTAGAGGAGAAGGGGGTGCAGATAGATCTGGACCAGGCTGACTTTGGCTACCAGGTGGGAGAGATAGAGGTCCTGGTTCCAGACGGAGGAGACGTGCAGTCTGCCTTGGAGAAGATCGAAAGGATGGCTGGAAAACTGGGTGAGCTCAAAGCTGTCAAACCGCCCAAAACCTCTGTGCGAATTCAAACACAGTCATTATGTATTATATTCATCAGGTAAGATATCAATTTGCCATTCTGTAAATGTTTTTTTCTTCTTCTTCTTCTTCTTCTTCTTCTTCTTCTTCTTCTTCTTCTTCTTCTCAGGTCTGACTGGAGATCAGCGAGTTGACGGGAAAATGAATGTTTACCTTCAAAGAAATTACCCAGAGCACCATGCAAAACTACTGAGGGAACATGTTCTCTAACATGTTATTAGTTTCACATGTTATACAAACCACATGCAACAGTTACATTTGTGTCTGGCTATGAAGCGTATCAGAGGAAGTGTGAACAATGGAAATAAATAGGGTGCAATACTGTCGATTCCCTGTTAATGATGATTGTTTTGTACTGTGTTGTATTAAAAAGACAGGCGATTAGAATTTATTAGACACTCCCAGATGGAGAAACCATTGCTTCTTATGCTGACTTCAGAAGCTGGATTCTTCTTGTTTATGAACAGATGGTTGTGTGCAAATGTGGCTGCTCCTGGTTTTACATCAACAAGCGTGATCCAATTTGCTGCAGCTCTCACTCAGTGCTAGTTTACATTTTAAAATCTTTACATTCATGTTGATGTCACAAAAAGCTGCACTACGAAATGGGTTAAAGGGCTAAAATGTCATGTTCGGGTTATAAAAAGATGAATGACTTCTCTTTCGCTCTTTGAATTATGGCGTATGGTTTGAAATGGAATAAAGGTCAGCAAAGTGTTCAATGCACACATGTATGAATGATAAAATACTGTTTTGCACTGAATTGAAATGTCTTTTGCAGCAAATAAATAAATAAAGTAAGGAACTTTGGCATTGCATATTTTTATGACACTATAATAATTCAACATTTTTAAGCCAATCATTACACTACAAATGTTTTCTTCAGGGTGTTTTGTATGTAGGAGGAGTAACAGTGAAATCATTCAGCTGACTCCAACAGAGTGTCGTATATATTACTTAGCCTTTTTGTTTGTACAAGAGATCTATCCTGAATCTAGTTAAAATGACAGAATAACTTAGTTGAATTGACAGAACTTTTTTTTTTTTTTTTACAGTAGCGGCAGATGTTTTCTCATTATAATGAGAAACATTTTCTGGGAGCTTGAAATAAGCCCCCCGACTGATCGCTCGGCTGGTCTCGTTTCTACTGCCAACACCAGCACCTGTTGTAGGCAGCTTTGTCCGGACACCTGTGATGCACTCACACTCACAGATACACACAATAACAGAGTGTATACACTACAGAGTAATGTGATACACGGGGAAGCTTTTTCAGACAGCGAGCAATCATCAGTCATTTGAGAGACACACACCCAGGCTTCTCCTGTCAGTCTGCGTTCTGACAGCTGGGTCCTTACAGTCCTCGTCCTTTTACACAGGAAGACGACACTGGAGGCCAACTTCATGCACGACCACTGAGTTCCACTGACAGGCCACATCATAACGCAGCTGCTCTCTTCATACACAACAAAAACAAAACAATTAAATTTAAATTTTGCATGGAGTTTACAGAAAATGCACAGTAATTACATGTAATACATAAAGCATGAATGGATATGTTACTGTGCAAGACAATATTTTTAGCTTTTGAGGTCACCACACATTTAACTTTAACTTCAGTTCATTTAAAGTGCACATGTGCCCAGAGAGTCTCTTTACTCTTTACAAGTCAGTGAAAACAACACAATAGTGCTTGTAAAAGTACACACACATACATGCAAACTCACACACACAAACACAGGTTGCAGGTTTACTGTAAGGTTCCAAAGCATACAACCACAGCCCCTTAACTATACCTGCAGCTCACTTCATAACACTGATTTCACAGAATGCAACACAAGTATTCACATTTAAATCACACGTTCGGTTGATTTAAATCGCTGAGATATGCACCAAAGCTATCCACCAGCTATAGCTAGATTATGTGATTAAGGACGCCTGGGAACAGATGCCTCAAACAGCAACTGTATACCACCAAGTGCAACCCTTAACAACGCATTATGATGTCCTATTAGGTGTGACATCTTCATAGTAAATGTGTTTTTCAGGAGCCCTGGGCTTATGCAAACCAAATTAATGGCAAATTAATACCAAGCACAATGATCTCTTAACATTTCAAAGCAAAGATCAGGGCAGATAATTAGGCTTAGCAAAAAAACAGAATGTCACTTTCACTTGTAAGGAAATGCATTCATCTTTGGGGTGAGGCATATTTCAACAGCCTGGGAATTTTGTTTGACATCTTATTTCAGAGCTGTATGATAGATTTTTTATCTTATCTCTGTTTAACTGGTTTCTGCCTATTTCTTTTCTGTGTATGCCTTTATGATTTGTTTTGCGTAAATATATTATATATACATACAACTACATATATATATATATATACACACACAACTATATATATACTTGAACTGCCATTGGTTTTCAGTCAAACAGCGCGGCTGATCACGTGACGGGGAAGGGGCAGGGGCACGCGCAGGGTTTTTTCACACTTTTGTAAACAACATGGCGATTCACGACTGGCCCTGCTAGCCAACAGATCAGACCTCACTGTGTTGCTGTCAAACCTCAGCTGTTTTTGCGCCACAAACGTTGGGCGCTAGACCTCGCGGTAGTTACCCGTCGGGGCAAAATTGTTAAGTTCGCCCCGAAACGACAAAAGAGCTGGACCGCCGAGCTGTCAAGGAGACCGTTTGACAGCCAGACGGTAATGTTAACGTTAAGTCGTTAGCATCCTTAGCTAGCTCAACAAAAATGAACCTGTGCATCTTAATGGCGATGAGCTAACGCACAGTACGAATATGCCGGTGGAGCTGTTTGCAGAACAAGTAGTTTGTTATTTTTGTAGAAGCGGAAGTACGGTGGCTCGAGCAAATCGCTTGAATTGATGTCAATTTAGCTAACGTTAACGCAGCCTCTCCTGCAGCCATTATTACCTAACTTCTGTTTCCCCCATCTCCTCTCTGCTCACCATCAACACACCCTGCATCTGTGTTCCCCTGGCTTCCCCCAGGTAAATCTAAAGCTGTCATTTCATTTCTAAATGTTCTCCTCGCTAGGCCCTCTTCAGTCTATGGGCTCTCAGTCCAGTTCTGGGATGTCTGGTGGAAGGGGCTCTTCCAGTGGCAACCCAGCTGAGCAGCCTGAAGCACCAGAACCGAACCAGAGCAGCAGCAGCAGTAGTAGTAGTAGTAGCAGCAGTCGGGGCCGCAGGACGGCAGACAGGCAGCAAGGAGACAGACAGACGCATCAGAGGAGGACGTTGACTTAGCTGAAGTACTGGCTTACCTACTGAGGAGGTGAATTCAGATGATTCTTTGTATTTTTACAACACTGACAATGATGATAACACAACAAACAGTGTTTGTACTTTACACTTTCTGGGCCCAGTTTGTTGTCTTGTGGTGATTTGTTTTTTATTCAGTTGAATAATGTCACGAATCCGATTTGGATTCATTGGTTGTTAAACTAATGTGTGTGTGTGTGTACGTGTGTACAGGGGCCAGGTCCGGCTGGTCCATGGGAGTGGAGCCACAGGGCTGCAGCTGGTCCAGTCCTACTCTGACTCTGATGAGGACAGCGACGGAGCCTGGGATGGTCGGCTGGGGGACCGCTACAATCCACCAGGTAACCTCCTACTGACACCGCTCACTGTCCACAGGCCTGATGGGAGAAACATCAATTGTATCTCGCTTACTCTTCTTCTGAAACGTACAGTTACAACAGCCACACGCATTGGAAGGCTCATGATGGACTCAAAACAACATTCACTTTGCTGTATTATTTCACAGTGTTTATGGACAGTGTGCTTTCGGCTGTTTGTCGTCTGTGTAGTTGGAGTCCAATCAATACCCCTGAAGCAGAATCAGGATGAATCCATGCAAGTCATGCAGGGTTTTCTACTAGTGCATGCAATGTCCAGCTGGGTGAAAATAGTAGCGGGGGGACGCATATTAAGTGGGAAACATTGAGCGTCGGACACTTCATTTCCTAAATTCTGGTGAATCTTTATGCACAAATTTATGATGGAAATGTATTTATTTATGTAAATCAGGCGCCAGGTGACAATTCAAAATCCAAAAATATAACATACTCTGTCAGCCCTCAGCTGCTGCTGCTGCTCTTTTCCTTTAGTGTGACATAGACGTGTCTGTAATATGATAAAAGAATGAAGTTGTTACTACATGCAGTGAGAGGGATAAAGCAGCAGACCTATTGTAATCTGTTATAATTGGGTTTCATATATTGTGCAATATAACGTAGTTTTTTTTACTCGGTGTATCAAATGTGAGAAATTGCTGAAATATGGTTCTTTCTTGGTCCTTTTTGGCCGCTCCAAGCACCCGTACCGTAACATTACCAATATACGAGCATAACAATCCAAGTAGCGGGGTTTTAGTTATTTCTTTGTGCTTATTTTACAAGATACTGCGTGGTTTAGCTCTTCAACCCTTCAACTATTTTATTCTAACAGCTCATGATGAAACAAAACATCAACAAGGTTAGACTATAGATATACAACAGGTACTTTACAAAACGAGCTCAATCTGCTTTTTCACTAACAAAATAAATAATGTTAAAGGGGTTGTTGTGTCTCAGTAAGTATCTGCCATGAGAGGCTCCTCCCTCCCTCGCCTCTGTCTGCTTCTCAGTAGCCGGTCTGTGAGCGTGACTTGGCTGGCGAGCAAGCTACTTGTTGAGTTTGGGAAGAAGTCTTTCATGCCTTCTCCTCAAGTGACAGACAAGCACGCTCTGCCTAATTGGAATCAAGGCACCTTGCATCAAAAGGGTCGAGAAGCAACTCGCTATAAAAAGAATCCGTAAGAAAGTTGTCGTCTTGAAATGTCTTAATATCCAGCCGACAGCATGGAAAACCCTGGTCATGTGTCTTCCAGTCAAAGGTGTATATCGTGGTGGAGTAATGCTGTTCTCCTGTATTCAGTCAAAATATATTTGTGTTGAAACGGTTAGATGTCATGTGGTAATTAAGACCAAGTTTTGTTTTGTGTCATCTTCCTAGTGGACACCCAACCCGACACACATGAAGTGGACCAAAGTGAGATCCGAACTCAGATCATGCTGGCCACCGGCTCCTTGACCGGGAAAGGCCGCCACGGTTTCACCCACATGCTGACAGAGGTCACCCCGCACAGATAATAAACTACATTTTGAGGACTACGAATGTAGCGAGATGATTTTGTTTGTGTCCGCCAGTTTGATTCCAAATGAATGTTGACCAGTTTGATGTTTTCTGCTGAACTCTTTTGCTTTTTAGAGGAGGCAGGGCAGATTGAGAGGCTCCAGTTTTTCTCACGGAGAGTGCAGTCGCATCCGCACACAGTACGTGTTGTTTTGTATTTTTTTATGAAAATGTACAATAGACTAGACGTGATGCTTACAAGACGACTCATCCTGTTGTCTGTCAAATGATATTGACCCTTTTTTCTTTTCCTTCGCAGTTTTCTGCCAAACTACGTATCCCACAAGGATACGTACCAGCAGAAAGCCTTCTGTGGAGTGTACAGCGAGGATGGCGGCATGTTCCTGTCTGCCTGCCAAGGTAAATAACCCGAGATCCAACATGAGAGCCCAGAGGAACTGAATCAGATCTGATAGGGGTTCCTCGTGTTTGTTTAAAACTGTGCAGACCACCGAATCATCATGGCCGATCGTGTAGTGTCACACACAGAACGTATTACTGATTTTTTTTTTTTTTTTAATTCTCTTGATGCAATCAGACATCAAATATGTTTGAAAACGAACTGAAGAAGTATTCGAAAATACCAAATCCTGTTGCACCGTGTCATAGTTCTCCCTGATTTACTTTGTGGTTTGTAAGCAAACAATACATGCGAGGGTCAACAGGTCTCACCCAGATACGTCACGTGATAACAGCCACCCATTGTCTTATTTTTTTATATATATATATTTATTTATTTATTTATTTATCAATCATCCTGATGCTCGCTGCAGACCAGAACATCCGCTTGTACGACACCACCAGGGGGCGCTTTCACTTACGGCGAACAGTGAAGGCTCGCGACGTGGGCTGGAGCGTGCTGGACGTCTGCTTCACCCCCGACGGACAAAATGTGCTCTACTCCAGCTGGTCCGACTACAGTAAGGCTAACCGACCTCATAAGACACAATGATGCTAGTTAGCGTAGCAGCTATTGATCCTGTTGATACTTTAGCATTTGCATCACAGTTACAAGGTGCGCTCTGCGTTGCCGTGCACCTTTAAACATTGTTCTAAATGTCGGATAAAAGAGCTTAAAAGATTTTCTTGAATAAACATCTGACTCATAAAAAATCCTACTTAAAAAATTGGATAAGTAATTATCCTAAATACTAATGCGTAGCCCCTCTGTTGTTTTATTCACACGTTCTCTGTCTCTGTGCGTCTTCCCCACAGTTCACTTGTGCAGTATAGATGGAGACAGTGAAAACCACACCGCCCTGGACCTCAAGTTAGTGTTTCCCCTCATAGTAACTTTTAACATTACGGAGCAGGTAATCTGTCACTTCCTACCAGCCGGCCCTCCTCTCCCCTCATTACCGTCTGGATGAATGATGCTGTCAGAACTTGTCACCTCAACATCCATCCTGCATGTGCGTGTGCGTGTGTGTGTGTGTGTGTTACTTTGTTAACTGGAGACATCATTATTTCAACAAAGCACCACCATTCAGCTCACAGCACTCGTAACAATAGCATTGTTACGAGCTTTTTGGCATGGGATGACGTACAGTAGACGGTGTAGTTGTGATTCAATAATGCTGCTACTGCTGCAGTGTCAACCTGCTTGTGTGTGTGCTGCTGTTTCTTTTGTAGTCCAGATGAGAGGAGGTTCTGTGTGTTCTCACTGGCTGCGTCCACAGATGGCAACGAGATCCTGGGAGGGTGAGCGCAATTTTGCGTTTTACGTTTATAGAGCACACTTAGTCGCATTTAACCTCTTCATTAGAACGTGTTCACACTCTCTCCTTCTCTCTCCTTTCAGAGCAAACGATGGCTGCCTTTACGTTTTCGATCTCGAGCAGAATAAACGAGCGCTGAAGGTTAGTTTGTCTTAGTTGCCGTTCGTGTTTTTGCTTCGCGGCCGCCTCTGTCCGTTTGTGCCTCACCCTGTGATCAAGGTGAGCCGGACCTGAACGCGTGCCGGCTCACATAAAGTTTCACACCGCCCTGTAATGTAGTCCACCCTGCAGTGGGACAGCGGGGGTTAAACCCACCTCCCCCCCGCCTCCACCATCTGCTTCACCGCTGTACATGCTCTCTCTCATACTGCCCCTCTTATTACCTCTGCGCCAGTGTGTCTGCGCTTAATCTCTGAACTGCTAAATTTTCACCTAAAGGAAAAAGTCTATATTTCTCTTATTGTTAACACATCCCATGAAAATACTAAAACCAACAATAAACTGATCCTCTCTACATGAATTGTCTGTGGCCAAAGCCTGATATATCGTATTGTTCGTGCCATAGATCTCCATTTCTAAACTTCTAAAAACCGGTAGACTCGCTGACATGCTCCTTTACAACAATAGACGCCGTAGGTTTATCTTGATTCAATCCCACGTACACATTATTGCTGCTGTTAATAGCCACTAAATCACCAAATTAGCAGGTGAAAAATAGTCCCCAACAAATGCTCTATTTAGGAACGGTTCTCTGAGCATCTTCCAGCAGCATGCAGCTGAATCAAGTGCCTCTCAGTTCTAGGACACTTCCCTGCTCGTCTGCTGCAGACAACTGTCGTAATAATAATGTTTTTTACGTCTCAGTTTCCTTCAGTCTTCCAGAAAACGCACACCCAGACAAAGGCACTTTCACACACGCACGCATGTATGCTATACACACTGTCTCTCACAGAGGAAATCACACACACACTCCCTGGCTCGCTCACACTCCACACAAACACTGACTCTCTTTTCTTTCGCGTCTCTCTCCGCTCGTCTAGATCGATGCCCACGAGGACCACGTGAATGCGGTGGCGTTCGCCGACAGCTCGTCCCAGCTGCTCTTCTCTGGCAGCGACGACGCGCTGTGCAAGGTGTGGGACAGACGGACGCTGCGGGAGGACAGACCGCAGCCTGTCGGACAGCTGGCCGGCCACCGAGACGGCATCACCTTCATCCATAGCAAGGTAGGGGGGGGGTGTATGCCGGTATTTTATCAATCTGTCAATGACTAGTTCCCCAAAAGCCTCATGGGTAGTTGGATTTGACCGATGATTGGTTGGAAGTTGATGAATTCAATGCTAATATTAGCCCAGTGTAATGTGTCTTTAGTCCGGTGTATTGGTCTAACCCTGAGATTTATTTTCTTTAATTTGGTCGTCCTCGTCATGACTGTGCCAGGGTGACGCACGCTATCTGATCAGCAACTCGAAGGACCAGTCCATCAAGCTCTGGGACGTCAGGAAGTTCTCGCCCAAAGAGGGCTTAGCAGCTTCCCGCCTGGCTGTCACCCAACAGAACTGGGACTACCGTTGGCCTCAGGTTCCCCAGAGAGGTGAGGGAGTAAGGGAGAAGATTGGGAGAAGGGGGGGGAGCGACAGAGCTACTGGTGGTGACACGGAGAGGAGGAGAGGAGGAGGAAAGTTAGAGGGCAAGAGGAGGGGAGGTCTCGTGGAGGAGGATATAAAGATGAAAGAAGGGAGAGGGGGCCAATGACAGAGAGGTGAAACGTGGGTGTGTATGTGTGGTGAAGGTAAGAGGATACGACAGTATTTAAACCACATATAGAGAAGTGAGTGATTACCATTACAAGTCAAAGAGGAGGGGGAGGCGTAGAGGACAGGTGACGGATAGTAGCGTACCCATTTTTTCTCAACAGATCTTAGACGTTTAGGATGTAAATTAACTCTTTTATTGCTTCGTAAATTGCACCAAACTAATGTGAGGTAGATTATGACTTCTGAAAACGATTTCTGGCGATTCCTAAAAAAAATTGTATGCTTCCCTTTCAGCCCTGAAGAGACACAAGCTGACAGGCGACACCTCGGTGATGACCTACCGCGGTCACGGCGTCCTGCACACCCTCATCCGCAGCCGCTTCTCCCCAGAGTTCACCACCGGACAGAGGTTCATCTACTCCGGCTGCTCCACCGGCAAAATTATCAGTGAGTCCGGGATTGATTTAAACAGGACACGATATACAGCACACAACTACAAGTAGCTAAATATTTTTGAATTGTTTGCGCGTGTCTGTCCAGTTTATGATGTCCTGACGGGCGCCGTGGTCTCCAGACTGTCGGGCCATGAGGCGTGCGTGAGGGACGTCAGCTGGCACCCTTACGAGGACAACATCGTCAGCAGCTCTGTGAGTGCAGTTAATGCAAACTGTGTGAAAGCTTGTGATCATAAATATTACATAAAAAATGTTTAAATGGGAATTAAACCAGTTGTTGATCCATCGAAGGCCTTTTTATCTCTGATCGCTCTGCCCCTCTTCCTGTGTCTCCACAGTGGGACGGAGCGGTGCGAATGTGGGAGCACAGACGGACTCATCCGCTAGAGGAGGAGAGAGAGCGGGACAGAGTCTGACGACGGGAGGAAGACCTTTCAGAGAGACAAAGGAAAAGATATCGCCGCAGGAGGAGGCGAGGCCGGCCCGAACACGGGCGGTCTATATATATATATATATATATACGCTCAGAAGGACTGGGAGAGACTTCAATATTTTTTCAAATTCAATGCTGGAAATTAATGATTACAGTTATTGCGTGGTTGTGAAGTGTTCATTTGGGAAGGCATTATAGCCTTACGTTGTCGAGAGCAGATTAGGGCACAGTGGGACGGCCTACTTCTGTTTCTGGGGGGGGTTTTTTGCCTCACTGTCAACAACAGGCCAGAGCTTTTGAATTTGGCCTGAAACACTTAACGAAAATGTGCCGGAGCTGGAAACACGAAGCACCGCACCTACTTAAATGTGCTGTTGAAATTTAACGATAAGTTAGTTGTATAAAAGTCAGTGTTGGATATTTGCAGGGAGGAGCTGGCGACGATAATTCTGAATAAATGTATAGTATTTTAATGGTATGTGCATTCAGGGAGTGTATTTAGATAGTTGTCAGTGGTGCTGATTTGGACTCTTGCTGGTGGGAATAACGCGAGCTTCGTCCTGTTTGAGGCGCCGTCACGTTCAAAGGTCTACATCTGAAGACTGATTGTTTTATAATAACCCACTACGTTATATACCGATTGCCTGAATCACGACTCCTGAACCCGGTGTGTTGCTGACCGGAGGTCCCCGTTGGTCCACGTCTCGTTCAGCCGTTCAGGGGGAACTTCCTGTGTTTCAGCTTCCTGTGTCGGAAGATTCCCAGCACACCACGGTGACCAAGACACCCGAACGCACTTAGCGTTACCGAGTCTCTTCGGTTCACTGTCGAACTCACAACAATCTTATGTTCTATCCTCTTTATGTCACCTCAAAGCCTGCGGTCTTAGTCTGAGGTCTTATATTATTGATCCTGGGTCAGCGTTCAGCTCTGTAAACACGAGCTCTGAGCCCATTTAACATAAGGAAAAAAGAGTGAGTGGTTGGCCACTATAAACCTGAAGGGACTGGGGATGCGTGTGCGTGGATCAAAACTCACACACTGATCTGTATATGCAATTTTCAGGTGTTTTCATCAAAGCCCATATTTCACCGTTGTTTTACAGTAACAATAAAACCTTTAATGTACGGCCACAACCTGAAGCGTTACACTGAGTGTTTGCTGCTGTTATTGAGAAGAAATTACCTTTTTTAAATTTTTTATATATATTTGCATTATCAGGCTTTAAACATGCAAATGTGTGACACTGAGAAAATGCAACAAATCCACACTGTTACCGGTGAACTAAATGGAGATAAGCGTTCATTTGCACTAATATATCATTCCGTCACACTGAACAAACGTCACGTGCCGTTTCTTTAGCCAGTAGCACATGACGGACAATTAGTAGCTGCAGGAACCCAAAGCAGAGTCACTTCAAGGGCGTCGTAATGACAGCAATGCAGTTAAGTGGTCTAAAATTAGACGGATTCTTTGGCGTGCATGGTTTCATTTACACTTACTGTTCCTGCTTCATACAATACTTAACGCACCAACACGGTAGGGGGGGAATAATGTATCATCTCAGCTCCAGTTTCAGTGAAAGGAAAAGCTCTTCAGATAAATTATCAGCAAGAGGAGGACACAGGAAAAATTTGCTGAGTTCAGCATTCAGATGTTTTTGTAGCGCTCAGAATATCCTTACGCTGTTAAAACTGCGTCACTTAAAGAAAACAAATAACCTTCCCCCCATATGGACTCCAGCAGTGCTTCTCTTAGTATGGATATACAGACTATGTATAGGCGTGGGACTGGATGTCCTGTCTTGTGAAAACAGTTCTTGGTGTGTTTTTATTGAGCATAAATCTCACAGAAAGACTAAATTTACTCAATCTGGTTCTGGGAGCTGGAGAGCTTTAAGAGGCTCTGGCTCGGGGACTGGGCCTGGAAATCCAGGAGACTGAAAGTGCTGTGAGAAATGCAGCTGTTCATGGCGCCAAATGCAGACTGGCAACAGTTTATAACTTAAATTAGTTTTGGCTCCGACAGCTGATTCTAAGAATGGAGGGACTCGAGGAGAACCAAAGAAGGAGCCAAAACGATCCATTTTATGTCGGAATGATTCTTTACGCAGGAAAAGACGAGACTTTTTTTAAAGCTAAATGTGATTAAAACATGCCCGCAGGTCTGATTGTAAAGTAGTTGTTTAAAGCCATCATACAAAATGTTGTTTTAATTTGAATTTCAGTTGGCAGCTATAAGGATCACATTCACAAAGCATTGGGTCATTGTTTTGAGAATGATGGGTTCAGTTACAGCAGCAGCCATTACCATGTCCACCCCTCTGAGTCTGTGTTGGGGGAGGGCCTCTGAGGGTAAAGGGGAGAGAGGGGTTGTATTTTTATAAAGCATGTGTTCTCCTGCACGCCTGACAGTGATAAAGTGGAAAGGCTCCCAGAGTGGAGCCGGAGTGCCTCTCAAAGACAAAAGAAAGTGAGGCAGACTCCGCCACGGGGCTCTAATTGGAGGAAAGAGGAGGAACACACTGTCAGAATTCAATCCAAAACTACAAGAAGGTGTCGTCGAGAAGCATATGAACATGGATGCCAAGACTGAAAACTCCTCAAATGGCTTCTCACCAGAGATCAACTTGGAGAAGTTACACAAGATGGCCGCAGAGGTGATTCTGCTGGGGAAATTCCTCCTCAGACTCCTGAACGCTGCTCTGGTGTTGGTAACAGACTCACTGGCCAGGATTTTAGGAAGCAGCCTGCTCAGACGACATTTCCACCTGATGCTGTCTGCTTTGGTTGTCTTTGGTCCTCTGCTGAGTTTCTGGGTGTCACAGTACAGCATCTTCGCCAACAGCAACCACTACCTGTACAGGTACTGCATGGGTGTGTTTCTCCTTTTAAATGGAAATGTCATATGTGTAACTAGTTGCTGTTGTTAGGCACGCTCCTTTAACACCTAGCACATGGAAGAACATTTCAATTTAACAGTTAAGAATTAAAAACTGCACTTTCACACCAAATATGGTGAAGTAGGCATCGTGATTATATGACATTACATGAACCAAGTCATTGCCTACTTTTGAAGAGTCTATAAAGTGTCAATCATAACTTTATTAAGAAGAGAGGGAGAATAATTACTTTTATTAATCCCAGGGAAATTCCTGTTTTTTCACTTGTAATTTAATGTACAAAAATAAATGAAATGTAAACAATAACAGTAAGAGCACAAGTGAAGGTTCATTTTAAAATACATGCTCTGCCAACCTTTATCATTATTAAAGCAAGATTATGAAATAATATTAAACATTATTTGTCTTGAAAATGGACAGTTGAATTCTTGAGCAATAAAATTCACTCTTGCTCTCTTCAGTACACTGGTATGACCAGTAGCTTAATAGCTAATGTTAGCAAACTTTGACTGACTCCCCACTACCTGTACCGCCACGATTTAGCATTTAGCATTATACTGACAGTTATATCAATAGTATGTTTATTAGTGTCTATCCAACCGCACAGTTTAAACTAACATTACAGTTAATTAATACATTAGTCATTTAGCAGACGCTTCTATCCAAAGCGACTTACAATTCAGATTCTATGTTATTTCTACACCGTTGGCACAGCTACGGGAGCAATTTTTGGGATCAAGTGTCTTGCTCAAGGACACATCGACATGCGACTAGCGGAGCCGGGGATCGAACCGCCGATCCTCTGATTGAAGGACGGCCCTGCTCTCCACTAATACAATTAATTATTGTCCCATGAGGCTTTTTAGTGAGGTCATTTAGTGCACTTTGGTCTTGTATAACTCATGTGTGGGCTCATTAGCGAAGCCATCATTCATCCTTTGGTTTGAGTGGATTTAAAAGGATGAACGTACTTGCCCAACTCGTCTTAGCCAACTTTATTTATTGCATTATTGTAATGTGTTACAACGATTCATAAGGTGACATTTCATGCAACACTGATTCCTGCTCTCTTGCAGGAAGTTTTTGACGTCCACTTGGGGTTGGACCTGCGTCTTCACAGGCTCCTTCATCCTTCTCCTCTCCATCTCAGCCCGTCGCTCCCCTTCTCTCCTCCTCCGCCACCTCTCTCGGATGGGGGTGGTCGGCTTGCTCTGGTGGGGCTGTCGGCGTCTCCTGACCTTGCTGGAGGATGCAGCGGGAACCTGTTATGAACCCATGACCCCCGCCGGGGATATTCAAGGCGCCACCTCCTCCGTCCAGCCCCTGCTGCTCCTACACGAAGACCAGACCAAAGCCTCCTGCCTCAAGGCCGCCATGGTGTGGAGAGGCTACGAAGTATCTCAGGACGTCCTCATCGTCTGCCTGTGTTGCCTGCTGCTTGTGGAGGAAATGTCCGTCTTTGGTCGTCACCTGGCTCAAACAAAGGCTCTGCAGAGGTCGCCTGGGGCCCCTCTACGGTTCATCTTCCTCCTGTGTGTAGCTCTACTCGCCGTTTGGATGTTCCTGCTCATGTGTTTGCTTGCACACTTCCCCAAGTTCCCCTCCCAGCATCTGGGAGGAGCTCTGGGCTACCTGGTATGGAGAGGACTCTATCAAGGCTGGTACAGACTCAAACCGAGCTGGGCCGGTCCTGGTTTGCCGGCAGAGGGACTGTTTACCACCACGGACATCGACAAACAGCCTTAAGCAGTGTAAAACCCTCAGTAGGTGTTTTGGGGATGTGGTTGCGACTCAAGTTAAGGAGTCTAAACGACTTCTGATACGGAAGTGAAGCGTATATCACCTGTAAAAAAACGCAACACTACATACCTCTGGCGTCATATGAATATAATGAAGACATTCATTGTAGGCCAATATTGGTCTAAAACCAGATTCTGAATTCCCATTGGGACAAAAGAAAGCAGACAGAAGTATCAGAATGATGTTGCTTTATTGTGTAATTTAAACCAAAATGAATGCACGCATGTCACAGCGGGTGTTTTGTTACTTGAGTGCAACACTACAACAGTTGTATCTTGTGAGCATGCTGGAGTCTCAGTAGATGAGAGCCTTGCCGTCTCCTCTGGGCTTCTTGATCTTGTCAAAGTTCTTGGTAATGACGTCAAACAGCACAGCCTGCAGACAGAGAGAGAGAAATAAATCAGTGGAAAAGTAGTGTGAGAAAGGTTCAAAAGGAAGATCGACAGCATGTGAGAGAGACATAAAGGTCAGAGGCAGTAATAAGAGAGAGAGCGGCCCAGATCCAGAGCCGTTATTGTGGGGGAACAGCTCCTTTCATCATCACCTGTACCGCCGTGTTCATTAACAGCATCAAACACAGGGAGACAATAGCCAGAGGAAGGAGACAACAGTGATTAATGGCGCGCTAATCAATTCAACACAAGCACAGCAATTTGTTTAATTACCCTCCTATTAAGAAGGAATAGATTCCATTTAGGCACCATCCCTGCTGCTGGGACACGACTGGAATATTTTACAGATGTGTGGATAGTTGTATCCAAAGTGCAGTGCATGATTGCAACAGATGGTGAATTAGGTTTGAGACAGAATTACAATATTCAGGTGACATGCACTCAAATTGTCATGATCCGTTTTTATGCAATCTGATTTTGAACCATTTTCCGATATTTCTACACAAACACGTGAAATACAAGGGTTTTAAAAGTCGATAAACAACAAGGGCGTAGGTGTCTTACATATGTGTTGCAGATGTCCAAGATCACAAGGCGGAGCTCACAGTACTGATACTGGTCCAGCTCATGAACCAGCTGTCTGTAGTCTCCCTGCAGCAGAAAGCACACAGTTGATATGCAGAAGCATACCGTACACACACGGCACATCTGGCATGTACCCAATTTACTCAACAGAACACCATCATAATAACTCATTATTTTACACACAAATAGAGCATACAGTGTGCAGGTGGCACACAATGACCACTCATCACTGAGTGTGACCATTTAACACACACACACACACACACACACACACACACACACACACACACACA